AAAATGGTTATAGCAGAATAAAAAATTGTATAAGGAGGCTGAAGCACAGGATTAGCTAATTAGAGTTTAGCTTTCATAATGAGAGTGTTGTAACTAGAAGTCAGTCATCCTAAACAGAGAGCCCTCTGGGAAAACACAGCAGTCTCAAGTGATGGTACATGGTGCTGAGTGACTGCCTTTCTCTATCCCGTTAGATGATTAGACGCCATTGTCAGGCTTTGAATGGAAGGCAGGAGGGATGAAAGTAAACGGAGAACAATTACACAGGCTTTTGTCATTCGTGTTACTCAGGGGTTATGGAAGTGAAGAGAACGATTACACAGGCTTTTGTCTCCTGCTTCCTGCGCGACGGTTGCTGTCAAATATTGTTTTGCCCAAAACAGATATTTTCTCAGCGGTAATTATGCGGCACATACTACATTTAATTAAGGGCTGGACCCAACCGAACGTGTCAGCTCTCTGAGACAAACACGAGCACCAGCTTGTTAATGCATGTCAGACTACAACATGAATATTAATCACTGTCAGTGTGAGGCATGCATCTCATCAGAAGAACTGCTCAGAGCTTGTCAATATGCCTTTGTCTTTTTAAAAAAAAATTTGTTTAAATATACAGTTGATGATTTGTTTTTGCAGACCAGAGAGCACACTGGCATCTGTGCCCGATTAAAAATTACACATTCAAATTAGGGCAGTGCATCATATTTACATCTGCTCATTTATTACAAGGCGGACGTCCTGTTTTGTGTGATCGTGTGGCCGGCAGGTTGGCGTACACGGGGCAGCTTCCTTTCTGCCGGGACCTCTTTGTTTTCTTCACAGACACGGACACGTTCCCGTAGATGTTTGGCTGCAGATGTGCGTTAAACTTTGTCAGTATTTGAGGTGTTAGAACATGAGTCAGGTGATTAGACTGTTAGGGCAGTAGTGTAAGATGATAATGAACAGGCAAAAAAAATTTAAATCAAATAAATTATTGAATAGCATTTACTTTACATTTACTGTATCATATTAAGTCAAAAAATGCATTTACACTGTCAGTTATCATGAAGCAGCATTAGTCTGAAATGTATCAGGTTACATGAAGATGAACTGCAGTGTATGAAATAAGATTAAGAGTCAAGTGTAATGGCTTTATAATGAAGAGCGTGTCTGATGAGAAGGTTGGGGAGAGTCTTAAATGTGTCAAGTGCAAAGACAAGAGTTGATATAATGAATAACCCAACACTTGCCTGTCTCTGAGACGGGTGAAGTTTGACTCGGTACTCCTCTCTCCTGCTCTTCTTCCTGATTATTCAATAAAAGTTACAAATTCATTTCATATTTTGTGACCAAAATCCCAGCATAGGTTAAAATTTAGTTCAAATATGACTGAAATAAACCCAACAGTTCCCATTCCCAACAAAAACTAAAAATGTGGGTAAAAATGTATATGTTAGTCATAATATAATAGTTTGGAAAAAAAAATCCCACTGGGCTAGATATATATTCTCATCAATACGTTTCTTCTTAAAATACAAATTATGAAAGAACATGGTACACTTTTTTAGCAATGCTAGCGGCAATGGCAGTGTCGGACTAAAACACATTAAGAAACTTTTGAAAGGATTACCATGGAAATTTCCATTAACATTCGTGATCTCCAAAGGATGAATTTGAATGACTTTGGTGAATATCTATTTCTCTAGAGTCACTATGAGGTTCTAATTTGTGGCTGAGGATTAAATGTCTCGACAGCTATATCGTAATTAAATAAAGATATTGGGCTTTGTGCATGAACACCGATTCTTTGATTTTCCAAGATGGAGTCACTAAAATGAATTGCTTCTTTCCGATTGAGGAAAACGACCTGTTCATGAGGAGGAACGTGTTCGTGAGAATAAAAGATGTCATTATCATGTAAAAAGAATTTCATGGTGCTTTCACAAGCTTGAGTTCCTGCTGTCAGCAAAGAAAAAAACACATTGAACAGAGGCAGGAGTCCTTTTATACGACCCAAAACAATTAGAATATGTTAATAGCACATCTGTTAGTGACATCAGAGACCTGCATTAAGACCCTACAGCTGTCAGAGAGACATGATGATGATATTAATTCTGCATTAAATCTATTATAGATAATTTCATCAAATTTATTTCGGTATCATATCTAACTACAAATTCATTCAGATGAATCCACTAATTTCCTGTGTGAAGACCTTGGCAGCGAATGTTCCATTTAAGAACAGACCTGTTTGTACGATTCGTTCCTGCATGAGGCCTAATGACGTTATTCACAAAGAATTGTAAAAATAACCAAATTTCCAAATCTCCAAATATCTGCAAAACCAACAACACTCCCATCAGCCTTCACTGCCCTGTGTGATTTACTCTTTTAGCAAATATTTGCATGCTAACACGCTATATATATATATATATAACATAGTGGTAAACCATTACACCTGCTTGTAAGCAGCATGTTAGCATGCTGACGTTAGCATTTGGATAGCGACTGTCACAGCTCTGCTTTGATCTGAGATAGTAAAACATGTATTAATCCATAAATATGAAAACAGTATACCAAGACCAAACAATCCTACTCATCGCACTTATACGTAGTCTGGTAACTTTCACTCAACTGTGAAAACTTGTTTGATGATGAACTAATAAAGAGAATAAACTTTTAATTTTTTTAATCAATGTCCTGAGAAAAAAGATCCAAGAACTTGATGCCAGTGAACAGACGGACCCGTGTTTATCAAGAACAGATGCACGAAAACACAATGAGATCTTACCTTTGCCTTAACGCTAGTATGAGGACGACTATGACTAGAAGAAGCCCTGCACCTCCAGCCCCGATGTAAATATACATCATGTACAGAGACAGGCTGAATCCACCTGGTGAGGACATGAGAGACAGTAATAATGCAGAACAGCCTGAAAGACAAGACTTTATAAACACATTCATTTGTTGTTTGCCTCCAGCAGAGATGTGGTGCACACATGCAGCACACAGACAGACCCACACACTCTGAGCAGGGCCACAGGAAGTTGAGGTTTCAGCAAAGCCAACAGAGCAGATTGTGTGAGATCAGCATCACAAGCTCAGTTTTATTGTTTTCATTATGTTTCATCAATCACTGTAATCTATGAGGGACATTTGCATCCATAAATCATCCTCAGTGGGAGAAACAATTCATCATCCAGTCATATAGCTGTCTGTGGGTGTATGGTAACTACAGCACATCTGTCTTTGTACCTGGAGTGACAACCGTGAGCTGCACAGTGGTGGTCCGCACCCCTGCATCTGTGTTGAAAGTGCAGCGGTAGAAACCCCCATCATCCGGCACAACACCTGTCAGATGCAGATTGACATCCAGGCTGTCGGCACAGCTGACCTGCCCCCTGTCACTGTAGTCCTCCCTCACCAGGCCCCCCTCCACCTGCTTGCACACGCCGATGATGCCCCAGAGATGGCCGTGTGGCATCCTCTCCAGCAGGGCCTGGTAAACGGTGCCGTCATGCTTATGGTTGCAGCCGATAGTCATGTTGCTGTCCTGCTCCGCCACCAACTCTACATCTACCACATTAACCTCTGTGGTTGGAGGCTCGACGGTATCTTCTTCATCATCATCATCATCTTCTCCTTCTTCAGGTGGCTCATCTGCAAACACAGGGAGGTGAGAGACACTCAGGGAACAGCTTGTCGAAGAAAAAGAAGTTTAGCTATATGGAAATGAAAAAAAAAGGTGATTTCATTTGTTTTTCCTCACCAGCCTCCACCAGAGCCCAAAGGTCTGCTTATGAAGCCACATTTAAAGTCACTAGATCTGGATTTTTACTCATGAATATCAGTCCACTGATCATGTATGATCTGTTTTTGTTTTATTAATATCCATTCAATTATTCTCTGAGAAGTCAAGGAAAATGTCAAAAAATACTCAGTTAAAGAAAATAAGTCCTGAGTCTGCACCAAAATTTAAAGTGTTCTTACTGACTCGTACCACAGGGAGAGGTAATAAATAATAAAATAAATGTGCAGTGCAGCAGTGTTAGTGCCGCTTTACCTAAATCCTCAACCTGAGCACTCGTGGTCCAGGGTCCTCGAGGGAACGTCTGAACTGAGCAGTGGTAAATCCCGATGTCCTGATGAGTGACGTTCCTCATGGAAATGCTTCCGTCCATCGGCGTCTTTCTCAGGAACTCTATCCTCTCCCTGTGGTGGAGAGAGAAGGCCGAGCCGTGCTCTGGGTGGAACACGGCTATTGGATACTTTTCGGGTATTTTGGTCCAGGACACCATGCTGAGGTTGCCTTTCCAGGGGCACAGACAGTTGAGGATCATCCCTTCCTCCAGCCGGACTGTGACGGCCTCTTTCTGCTGGACAGCAACTGGGCAGAAGGAATTCTGTTAAAGTGCGACTCGTTCATCATCAGGAGTTAATAAACAGTCAATCATTTGATCATATTTTAACATTTTAACGTCAGAAACCCTGATCTTGTGAGTAATTACAATTGTTTATGCAAGTTCATGTGTCCTCCCTGAAGTCCTCCAGTCCAAGAACACCACAGTCATTCACAAATTTGAGGCCATCCCTTGGGTAATGGTAATTAGGCCCATTTGAGCCGGCACACACAAGAACTACTGACAATTGTCATTGATCAAGCTTTCAAGTTTTCAAAGCCTTTTTTTTTTTTTTTTTTTTACTAAGCTGAACGATCGACCACTGATTTCACGTCCTGTGACTGAATTCAGGAGGGTTTGGAATAATAATGTCTCACAGAGTGATTGAAAACTGTTACAATGAGAGGCTTTTCCCAACAAATCTAATGCATAAAAAGTTGAATTACTGATTATGAAATGAAATATTACAATTCAAATCATTAAATACATACACTTTAAGAAACTAAATGCATGTATCCATGTACAATGAGGCTCAGCTTCTTTAAAACAACAGAAAACATCACTTTTAACAAGGTTACCAACAGTTCTCACGTGAACCATCCAATAAACACGTTAGAATTTATAAAATAGGTGCATAAATACCTCGGAGAAAAGGGAGAAAGATGAGTACCACAAAGTACCAGTGGTCCTTTTGTACAGCTTCCATCTTGCCCCACCACGGGAGAATGAAAGCTGCATTGATGAGACGAGTGGAGAGGCACCCGAGCTGCACTTCCTGCAAGCTCTGAGACTGAAGACACACACTTGAGCTGCTGGGACTCACTTCATGTTAGCCCACTGTTAGCTCCGTCCACACAGAGACGCACTTTATGACCAGAGCTGCAAATGGGAGGCAAGCTTATAGCATAATGGTGGGATATTGTTATTATTGTGCCCTTCAGCTGTTTGAAATATAAATGATTTTTACATTGTGGACAACTTTTTATCTTTATTTTCAGTATTTTTTTCTGTGGCATTTTCAAATAGATGTAAGAATTAGATGAATCCTACTGACTTGGGCACTTCATCCAGTTTCTGTCTCGTGCAGGAGGATATTTGTGGCAAATATCGATTAACAGAATGAATTCCCTCTTACACCAGGGGGTAATGAACGTAAGGGATAGTTCACATCAATTTCTGATTTAACTTGTGTTCCGTTCTAATTATGAAATATTATTAACGAAACCTGCCAAAGCATGTTAGCATGCTGATATAAGCCAGTACTTCAGAGCACAGCTGTGCTTCAGTGCAGCCAGGCATTGGACGTTTGCACGGAAAAGCAAAGTTTGGATTTGGTGCATTGCAAGAGTTCTGCAATGATGGTAACAGATCAATGAGTGAAGCAGGGCTGTGTTCAAAGTTCACTTCTGTTGACGTTCGAGCTACAGTTGCTGAATTTGAAACCAAAACTGGTGTTAGAATGTCAAACTGCTCACAAAAAAAAAGCATTGTGTGTGAAGTTGCTGCGAAGACAGCACCTAAAATCTGCCACTTTAATATTCCTAAGTATAAAAAATGATACAAAGACACACAAGTATAAATACAATCAGTTTTTTAGCAGCTGCGAAAGGTTTTCAAAGCACTTCAACAGGTAGGGGCTCATCGGATCCTGACTGTTCTCTGCAGCTGTAGGTTAGAGAAAAAGAAAAAAAAAGTATAAAGTTCAGACTAAAGTGTGAGAACAGAGGTTTATATTCCCTCAAGCATATAAATGTTTACCTTTCTTAGAGATGGCGTGTGCCTCTTCAATCCTCCGTCGTATTGAGGGACACTTCATCGTCGTCTTGGCCTTTGACGGGAAATTAGAAAGAATATTTTGGGTTGTTTTTATAAGACAACAACAAGCAGAGTATTTTCTTTTTGTTTTATAATGAGGAGATCAATGAGGCTGAACTATTATTTAAGAGTACAACAAAGATTTCAGGAAGATTTATTCATTTACAAATGTATTTGCACGTTTATCCAAAACGACCTACAACTGAGGGACAACACTAAAGCTTCTGTGCAATGGGACCTTGAAGTAAAGACACGGTGCTAAATCTGTTCAATGAGACAAAGTGCAGTAGATCAATGTCTAATGGGCCAAGTACCAGAGAGCATGAAGACACGCCAGGACTTGACTTGACGTATATCGTCAGTAAATTCCAATACTAGCCAATAAATGCAGTAGAATAAACTTGAAGTGCTCAGGGACATGTGTGTTTGTGTTTATATGTGTGTGCAAGTACCCTCTGATTGTTATGGAGCAACGCCCAAAGTGCGGACGCTCCCATACAGCGAGTCTCCATCTCTTTGCTTTCCAGACAGCACAGCAGTGTCTTCATGGCTTTGTCTGGACGAAAGATGAGCAGATAATCAGAGCCCTCATCATATGTGAGATAAAATACAGGCATAAAGTCTTTCATTTAGAAGCATTGGCGTTAAAATACAGATTAAAGAAGAGCGCAGACCTGCATCTAAAACCTCAAACCCACATTTCTTCTACATATTTGCATATACACATCGGTACTGTGCCGTGCCAATCCTTCAGATAAGATGATTGATTGTAGACACAGGAAACGTGTATGAAAAGAGCGAAACGAAAAAAAGGCAACATGTCGCAACAAATTCCGACCATCTAGACCCACAACTCCCACTGAGGAAACACACAATTGGCTGTAATTTCCTCTTCCTCTCATTTTTTTCCATCTACGTGTACACCTGCTGCATTCTCTCAACGCTTAACTTAAATATGAGTCCCACTGAAATATAGTCACTTCACTATTTTTAGTATTTTTATCATGAATTTGCACAAGAGACAAAAAACTGACACTCTTTTATTCTTAAAGGAAGAAGCAGACGCTAAAACCAACTGTCAATAACACAATACACTATATTCTCTTGTGTGATGAAAGGTAAAAGTGCCTTTGAGCAGTTTAGAGTTTTACGTGTTGATTTCATTTTACACCAACAATTTGACATTCAGGTGCATTCGCATGTTCTGCTTGAGATTTTCAGGAGATCAGCAAATCGATATCTCACATCTGTTGCCTCAAGCAGGGAGCTGAAGTCAGAACGTGGTTAGCTTAGCATAAATACTGAAAGCAGGGGAAAACAGGTTGACTAATTACAGCACACACGACTGCGGTATCAATCTTTTCATCTAACTTAAGGCAAGAAGAATTATTTCCTAAATAATAAAATATACTATATATATAATACTATATTTTCCTTCTGTATTCAATGTGAATAATATATAAAAACATTTTTAAAAAACTGTTTGTATCAGATGATGAAAACCCTGGTATATCTATAACCTGAAACCGATCTGTGTTTCCCTTTTGTTGCAAGAGATAGATATCTGTAATTTCCCTCTGATTTCCTGTCATACCACTGGCAATGACGTGAGGTTTGTTGGCGGGCCAGAAGCAGAGGTTGTGAAGGGTGAGCAGCGCATTTCGCCGGTGAGCTGCCAAGTCTGCCAGCAGCTCCAGGACTCCGGTCACCCTCAGGAGACTCTGCTGGATGTCTTCTGCGAACGAGAGGGTGACCAGCAGCTTCAACCACAGGCCCAGTACGCCGCCACCACCACCTGCCTTGGGCACTGGCACCGAAACGAAAGCTTGAAGAAAGTTATTCTGAGAACAACAGGAAATAAACAAGAGTGTCAGCGTTACGTGTACAGAAATAAATATTTATAACATGGGACTGCATGTTTAACTTTGGGTTTCTGTCATTTGACTCCACACAAGTGCACAAACGTATTTGATAGGACAACTTGAACCTTTTGCAGGAGGCCTCTGCAGTCGCGGGACATTGAAAGGTTTGTCAGGAGAGAGAAGGCCAGCTTCTGGACTGGGCTGTTGTCCGGGGCAACCCCTGAGGCCAGCTTCATCACAGCATGCATCAGAGAGCTACTGGAGCCTTTAGATCCTGGTGGAATACTCCCACAGAGAGAACTGCATGCTGGGAGAGAGGAGAAGCAAAACACTGACTCATTGAAATGAAATATTATGGATATGTAGGTTATTTAACCATTTAACCTATTGTCTCCTATCTATTCTAAGCAGCTATGCTAACTGCTAATCCAATATAAACACAGCGAAAAACCTTTCCTCTTATTCTTGGAGCTGGTTGCTTCTTTCCGTTTACCTTAAAGCTACTTCCCTGGGCTTCCAGCGCCACTGACCTGCATGGCTGTCTGCTCACGACACCAAAACATCTGTGCACAGCTGCATGCACAGCTTATTTTTTTGATGCCAGCACAAATGAAAAATAATGACAATGAGTCAAACCTTGTGGCCAAACAGTGTAACCTGATGGAAACTGATGGAATAAAAACAACAATATTTCTTTTAAATCTTTAAACTGGATTTATGTTACCTCACCATGAAGGCAGTGAGTTGGTGAGCTTTGATAATGTTAATCCTGATTAATGATTCTGATTTGATCCTGTTTTTTATTGGTTGCATCATAATGTTATTGTTTCTGGTTTGTTTTATTGTAGCCTTTAGTGTTTTATTCTTTATGTATTTTATCTGGTTAATTCTAATAACAACTTTCTAGGTTTTAATGTTTCCTGTACCTCTTTATTCTTTTATGTATTTTACAGTTTTACTTTATTTTATTTATTCATTTCATCATATTACATTTTTTGTAAAGCACTCTGAACTTGCTTTTATGTATGAAATGAAAGTTTTTATTATTGTTTTTATTCAAAATTGCATTGTACATCTTTGAGGGAGCCTTCGGCCACGGCTACACTGTTCATTGAAGTGCACTTTAACAGGGATTTTACATCTATTTACATCTTGTCTATTTTTACAAGAAGCACTCAGTGTATCTATTTTCACACACTGACAAAAAGTGACACATGCTCTGTTATTTCCTTTATCAGTATTTTCAAATACCCCGAGATCAAGTCTGACTGCATCACCTCATTACCGCAGCCCTAACAGTAATTATTAAGCTGTAGGCAGCAGCTACAATTTATTCTCCAACAAGGCCATTCAGAATGTAAATACAACTAAATAACACAGAAATAGGCGTCTCTCTCTTTCATCATAATATTTACACAAGTATATAACTGACATGACTAATTGCTGCTGCAGAAGATTACATGTTAATTCCAGATGATACGACGTCTGACACTGATTGATGTTGTACATTGGCGAACATGACAGCTAGTTGGTTATGCTAATCCTAAAATGGTAACACACAGCAACACGCGTATGCTGATGTTAGCCCGAGGTTATCTCAATACCTGTCAAGACGGCTGACGTATCGTGAAATTGACAAGGGAGGTCTGCTTTACGGTAGATCTGCTTCACTGGTGTGAATCAAAACTGTTCGCACTGCCGCCTCAGATCTGACTCATTTTCACAACTATATAACATATAGAACTGATCATTGTATAGAAGTGTAGACTAAAACAGATGTGTTCTGTTTATTCTGTGTGTGTCTGTGGGAACAAGTTTGGAGTCTGCTACAAAAATATCTACAAAAATATGTGTTGCACAGATGAAAACAACAATCGGACTTGAAGTAACAGCGCAAACAAAGGCTCGGATGAAGGAGGTAGACTGGAGATGAAACGTGGGGTAGAAATGTAGCAGTCTCTGGAGACGAAGTAGTAGCCTGAGGGTGGATGGTGTAATACTAAGCCTGGCTGCATGCAGGCTGAATGCAACCTGCTGTTCGGTTAACCTTTAGGGAAATACTGTGCCTGACTTCACTGGTTCTGGTGCTTCACAGGTTGAGCTTATAGGGGGTCGAAAGCAAGCGAGTTTAGATCAGAGCACACGCACCCACTGAGGAACCGGTGCCAATCAAACAGAGTTACACACACACACGCACACAGAAACGTTCAGAAGTGTAGAAACTTTCTTTCCTTCACTGAAAGGAAGCTGATTTCCATTGCACAACACACTAGTTACACTTGAATACACACACAAGTATATCAAAGTGACCACAAGCTGTTTATGAAAGTACACCCTCTCTACGCTTGCATCCTATCAATCTCACCTTCTCAACCTCACAACTTTCTCTTTGCTTTTCACATCTCTTACGTTTGCATGTTCACCTGAACAATAAACTGGACTGGACTCAAAACACTCATGCACTTTACAGGAAAGGTCAGAGCCGACTCTACCTGCTGCGTAAACTTAGGTCCTTTGGAGTGCAGGGAGCGCTCCTCAGGACCTTCTTTGACACTGTTGTGGCATCAGCCATCTTCTCTGGAGTGGTCTGCTGGAGCAGCAGCATCTCAACAGCTGACAGGAAGAGACTTGACAAGCTGATAAAGAAGGCCWGCTCTGTCTTGGGTTGCCCCCTTGACTCAGTGCAGGTGGTGGGAGAGAGGAGGATGATGACGAAAYTATCATCAATGTTGGACAATGTCTCCCACCCCATGCAGGACACCATCATTGCACTGAGCAGCTCCTTCAGTGACCGACTCCTTCACCCCAGGTGTGTGAAGGAGAGATATCGTAGGTCCTTCCTTCCCGCTGCTGTCAGACTATTTAAMAACCAGGTCTGACCCCCCCCAGTAGACCACACACACACACACGCAATGTGCAATTAACCACTGCAATAACCACAGTACAATTTAAAAATTTTGCTATTTGCCCATGTACAACTGCTGCTATATATACTACCTGATATTGTGTGTTTCTGTTTGCTTGTTTGTTTGTTTGTTTGTTTGTCCTCTCTTTGGAGTTAAATCTTGTGCTACTGCTGTAACATGTGAATTTCCCCACTGAGGGACAATAAAGGAAATCTAATCTAATCTAATGACAGAATAAATCAATATCTCAGGCAACACAGATGCACTCTGTCATTCCCCACATCATCTCTCACTGGTCTGAGAACCCATTGCCATTCAAGCAGCCATGCAGCTTGGTCCCCCACGTCCTGACACTGTGCCCATTGTGACTGGCAGGCGAGCAAACGCTGGTCTTATACAGTGAGACACAATGTTGTTCAGTGGTCACCGGAGAGGACAACGAGGCTCTTAGTGCGACGTGCGTGTGACTCAGACTCAGATTGCTAAATGCAGACAGAGGCGATGGGCAGGCACGGGCCAGGCACAGTGCCTGCACAAACACACACACACATACACAAACAGACCTGTGCTGCAGTTGGCTGTATAGACGCACAGCAGCTCCAGCACTGCCTCCATGGTGGGGTCGTCCAATAGGAGCCAAGGCCAAAGAGCATAGAGGGTCAGTGTGAGGCGAGCATCTGAAGCCACAACCTACAGACACACATACACATGGATACACACATTAAACCCACACAAACAAGGCAGTCATAGAATAAGGCCCACGTACAGTACAAGCATGTACATGACTACAGATGCACAACTGGTTATAGTAATAAACCTTATTAGAGAATCTACACAACAGCACAAACACAGATGGCAGCAACATAAAAACCCTCAATATTTTAGTAGCTGTGCAGGAGAAACTTATAATTGCAGGATGAGCGCTGCTGTCAAGCCTCCCTGGCTATTTAGTCAAAGGTAACAACCAGTGCCTGAGAAGCACTTAGAGAATGAAGACCAGCTAATATGCTTTGTAAGTAATTGCAGGTAATGGCAATAAAGTGTTGAAGAAGCTAAACTTGCTGAGACGTTAGCAGGGCCATGCACATTTAGGTGAATCTCATTTACAGGCATTTGTGCGCCGAGGTTCCATTAAAAACCAATTAGCAGTGGGGAATTAAAAGGCAGACACAGAGGCTCACTTTGCATTCATCGTTGCGGTAAGTAGCGCTCCGCAGGATCTCCACACTCAGCCTGACTTCCTTTAAATGAGCCTCTTCCTGATGATATGAAAAGACAAAACAAAGATCAATATTTCTGATTGTCCCAACTTGAAAATACAGTTTAATGAACATTTAATGCTCAAACAAGCAATTTGATGTTCGTGATATTTTTTTAAAAACTCATTCAGGTTGAATTCAAATTGTTATTCCACCCAAAGGAAAAAAAGAAACTGAGGCAACACAGAAACGCTGAGACTGGAAATTTCCAGCCAGTCCCTGTTCACCTTTTTGCGGAGAGAAGCCTTGCTGGGTCGGACTGACTCCAGGTGGAGCTGGGAATGAGTCTGCTTTATTTGCTCCACACAGCTGTCAATTAAACCAGCTGGAACACACAAGACAGTCAGAATAAGATTTTACATCAGATTTTATTTCAGTTAACTGCAAATTATTTCAAAACTGACAACAGGTTATGCATTATAATCTTTACATAAAGAAAGATGCAGTAAACATTTTTGGTTTTTATAATCCAGAATAATATGATGAGAAGCACAGACACTTTCAGACATGCACTGAACTCAGGATAACTTCAGGAGATTATCCGGAGTGGCTGTATGTGAGAACACACATGTTCAAGCCAGTTGTGCAGACATTCTCTGGAGTTCATGTCCAACAACGGCTTACATGTCTCCAATGGTAAACATGTGATGAAACACGTGTCTGAGATTTGTGGAATTACCTTCGGCTGCATGGCTTTGAGCTGTGGGGCTGCATGCTAACAGTGTCATCAGAGCTCGCGCTGTCAGCTTCTTTAAAGGGTCCTGAAGGGTCCTCTTATCAAAATTCTAGCATCAACAGACACAGAGGGACACAGTGACCAACATACATATCCATACATTCCAAAAAATACCATCAAAGCTGTTGTGTTACTGTAAACTTGCCATGATCACATAAATGTTTTGTTGTAAAAAAAACAGAACAATCCAAGGTCTAGACAGATTACTACACAGCGTACCTGGAGTAACAGTTCACAGAGCAGGCCGGCCGAGGGACCATTCACAATGTCAGTTAAAGAAGTAGCACACTTGGAGTTAGGGGTCGTGGCCTCTTCACCTCGACTCTTAGTCTCCTCTGTGAAAATCGCACAGAGGAATTGCAGAGCCACTGTGTGGAGCTGAGGGTCTGCAAACTTCTCAGTCAAACACACTGATAATGTTCCTGCAAACACACACAGAAAACAAAAAAGTGAGGTTGTGGGAGACAGCTTTCCTTTTTCTGAGTGACACTGCAACACAAACTGAATCTCAGCAAAGACAAAATGACAAATCCCTTTCTTAAATCCCTTGACAACAAGATATTTGTCTGTGACTGAGGCAGCATGCACTGGTGAAGGAGACACTTATCATTTGAATGCATGAGCAGATACCATAAACTGTACACACACAGACATAAATACACACACAAAGGCTCAGCATTCATCTTTTGGTGGACTCATCAGATTTTCCTGCTGCGCCATTAATCATGGAGAACGATGAGTAGGAGGAGTAGAGGTTGTTTAAGAAGAGGATGCAATTATCTTCTCCTGGCATCTGTTCGGGAAAGTTAATACACACAGTAATGATGCAACTAATGTGTCAATATGATGGACTTAAATATTTAAAAAAGGGAATCCGGGCTGAAGAGAACCTTAAATGCTAGCCCTGATTATTAAGTGAGTTAGTACAATCGGAATAACTGATTATTGATGATTATTCGAATTTATGATTTGAAGGAAAATATTATCTTACATCCAGATGTAATCATGTGCTAAAATTTGGCTCTTAAGGAGCAGTGGCTAATTTTACTTACACCTAAATGTTACCATAGGATACAATAATAAGGTGGATCTGAATGCACTGCATCTTAAGAGAACGTGCAAATAGATCAAATTCAGAAAACATCTTCATCACCGCAACACAACAAAATACAGAAACATGCTGCAAGTAACAGAGACAGTAAAGGAAGTGTTTCCATGGGACACGAAAAAGTGAATGTGCAGTGTGTTTCTGTTTTTGGTTATGTTTTGTGTATTTTCAGCACATGTGTTATCCAATAGATGTTTTCTTAATTTGCTTTGGTATTCCATTTGTTTTTATTACTGCAGCGAATTGAGCTTTTGGCCCAACGTACATTAAACTATAATTGCAACATTTTGAGAGATAAAATATATGATTTATACAACTAATTCTGCAGCCTGAACCAGGATAATAAATGTTGTCACTTTTACACACACTTTACCACATACACACACACGCAAACAGAGCACAGAGTATCTGTGTACCTGCGAATGTCCGCCAGCGTTTCCCCAGTGCAGCAGAGACAGATGGGAACGCCGCTGAGCTGTCCCTCCTCACCAGAGTAGCCAGGAGCATAAACACGTCTGCCCAGCACAGACAAACCGTGTCCCGCGTACCTGCATCTAAGAAGGGGAAAGAGTGAGTCACAAATTTAACGACGCGAGACAGCCACAAAGCCACACACAGATCACACTGTGGAGCACTCTGCACACCATGTGGGATGCATGTCTCCAGAGGACATGCATTTCAAGCATTGATGAAGGAAGCTGTGATGGTAGTATATACAGTTTTATGCTAAGGAAAACATTTTAAATGCTTTTGGACTATTATTGCCAACTTTATTTCTTAGAGATCATCTTTTACAAAAGATTCTGACCTAATCCTTTGGTGTCCAGCATGAGAACTGCAACCAGAGTCGACATAAGCTGTTTCGTGAAGTCCAGCACAGGAATCAGTTGCTGGTTCACTGTGATACATGCCTGCAGCAGCTTCGAGAAGCCAGACAGGAACTGGAGCAAGGTGACAAACTAGAAAAGCACAACAACAAAGATTGGTACAGACTGACCAAACATGAAAACAAATACACATGCACATGTTATTATGTTTTATGTTATTACCTCCACCAAGGGGGTTATGTTTTTGTCTGTGTTTGTTTGTTTGTATGTTAGTTAGCAGGATTATCCAAACACTACAGGGCAGATTACCAAGGCACCAAGGTGGAAGGATGCGGTATGGGTCAGGAGAGAACCCATAGAATTTTGGTTCGCATCTGGATCAGGAGGCAGATACATTTATTTTCACTTTATTTATCATTGCAAGATTTTACAATGTTTTCATTGATTTTTCAGAGAGTAAATCGTGGATCTTGATGAGACATGTTTAGGGGACTGATATCTATGAGTGTGTGCATTATGATACAATCTGAAACTAGTGAATAGAAATGTGGTTTGATTAGGGAACTTTTGAGTGCCCTGCGAGTTTTGGGAAAAAGTGAGTGTATAGTAATTCCACCTTAAAGCTAATTTTCCCTGCTGTTAAAGCTATGATTTGCTTTGAGTATGAATTTGAGTATTCCACCCACACTGAGGCATGGAGGTGCCCTCAAACCGCAGAGCACTGCTGTACTGAAACTGGCACTGAAACATACCAGTCCACATTTTCAGAGGAAGTTAAAATAACAAAGGAAAATAAAAGTTGAAAAACTCGTCTGAACTGTCGATCACAGGTTCCTTACCTGGCTCTTGATGTCTTCTCTCTCTCCTGGCAGCACGTTGGGTGAATTCAATTCATTCAGACATTTCTCGATGGGCCTGATTTCCACGAGACTGAGAGAGAAAAGAAGCATGATGGGAAAGGTTGTGTGTTTGCAACAGAGTTGCTAGAGGGGAATAAGGCTGCAATTAACATGAATTCTCTGCTGAATATAAATACACGTGTATATT